TAAAGTTTCTGTCGTGAAACTTCAAATCTCTCACACCAAAGCAGGGAAAATAACAAAACAGGAACAAGTATACGAATGAAAACTACCGAAGGAGAACCAAAACATGCATCGACAAACAGTCACATAGTCGAAACATAATTCTCCACAAATAACTGAAAGTAAATAGGGTACTGAGGTGACCAGTGATGCTCGATGGCGACAGGGTATTTGTTCGACTAGTGCGCTTTCTGCAAAAGAGCTACATCTAGTTGGATGGACTTATGATTGAACACAGAAGATAAACTCTCTTTATCCTATTCTCCTCAAAAACTGATTCATCAACCAGTGCCTATTACTCGGGGTAGATGCTTGGGGTGATCTCCAAACCTTCACAGGCTTCTCCTTCGTGAACCACAATTACTCTTGTTCACTGAAGAACTTGACACTTAACCGTCTAGAGAGTTAGCAGCTCTCAAGAGTAATAGGCGGAGCATACTAGACTTAGATTCTAGTGATGCTAAACCACTATCTAATGTTTTGGCTCTGGGGTTTTTCTCCCGTTGGATTTTGAACTCAACTCTTTCGGGAGAGGGGTGCTCACACAATCTTCTCAAAATCACACGGATCAGCCAATGATTCACGTTGGAAGGGGGTGGCTATTTGTAGTCGCAGTCTTCCCAAGGGGGAAAAAGACCATTTTGGATATGAGAGCTCGTCAATGCCCAATCGACACGTTGCCAATGACCGGATTTCAAACACACCTGGCAACTTCACTTGAGGAACAAGTAAGCCGACTCCTTGGTCCAAATCACATCTCTCGCAGCGAAGAAGTATTGCATCTCTTCCTGGCAAATATCGTTTCAGAGCACAAAGCCATTTCTCTCGACTGTGATATGTTTTGGTTTAGTATCAGAGAAACATAAGTTTCGAACACTATACCCCTCTTAATAGTACGGGCGGGGTCCTATCACTCAAGAAAGAGAAGAAGAACAGCGAAAGATAATGCTACGTCTTTTGTCTGTCTTCAAACTTCTCGGTTGCAGTTAGTTCCTTCGGAAAGACATCGAATCATTTGCTTTGCATCAACAATTTTGGGGGGTTAATGTAGACACGCATAATCGTCGCTGCCTCATAGGAGATTATCTTCGGAGTTTGTTCTAAACTTCATATGATTCCAGGGACTTTTTACTCTATGTACACTAGCAAACACATTAGTCACGCACTATTTATGAGAACAATCTCCAAAACACAAGGAGTCAAATTATTGCACCAACACTCCTTCCTTGCTGACTCGGCCATCCATCTAGGCCACATCGAGACTCTAGATTCACGCCGTCAACATGCAACTATGCTACCTCACCATGTCACAGTGCATGGGGAAGCACTCACATTGACATTAACATGCACTATCCATGTTGCTCAGACTCAATAAATATTCTACAACTATAGAATGATAAAATATATTTTTGCATGTATTTTGGTTTCAATTGACCTATTGTTAGTTTAAGTATTAATATTTCATACATCCAAATTTCACTAAACCCTCCCCCGCCGTCGCCGGCCTCCTCGCCTGCTTCCGCCGCTGCCGGCCGCCGGGCGAGCGCCTCCAGGCTTGCCCTGCTCCCCCTCCCCCCTCCCCCATCAACCCCCTCGCGGCGCGCCCGCGCGCGCCGGGGGGGGATCCGTTCCTCTGCAGCCTCAAACCCTCCTTCCTCCCCTCCCCCCTGCCGTTGCCGGCGAGTTCCGTCGTGCAA